ACAAAGTCAACCATTTCAGCCACAGTTCGGTCAGTGCAGGAGAGATTGAGCAAAGGGGAGATGTCACAGAAGAAGTGGTTGATGACATTGGGCCCACAAAAGCTCAAGTGTGAAATGAAAAAAACTTTCAGCATAGAAATTAGGAAACCAGTGAGCCAAGAACCCACTGCTAGCTGCAAGCAAAGCTGGGATGTCATTACAACAGAATAGCGTAGTGGGTGGCAGATGGCAACATAACGATCATAAGCCATAACAGCCAGCAGGACACATTCAGTGCAGGCTAGGGATATGAAAAAATACAGCTGGGCCATGCAGCCTGCATAGGAAATGCTTTTATCTGTTGCTAAGAAGTTAATCAGGAGCTTTGGGACAGTCACAGAAATATACCAAGTCTCAAGGAAAGACAAGTGACTGAGGAAGAGATACATGGGTTTTTGGAGGTGATTATTTGTCCTGATGAGGATGATGATCATAGTGTTCTCCACAAGAGCGAGGATGTAGATACAAAGAAATACTACAAATAGTAGTCTCTGAAGTTCTAGAACGCTGGGAAAACCCAGAAGGATAAACATCTGGACCCTGGTTTGGTTGTTCACTTCCATGCCTTATACACCAATCTGCAAGATCAAAGGATAACAGAAACATGATAAATTTACAAAATAAATGAAACAAGAGCTTTCTGGATATATGGTGGGGAAAATTCAGGATATGTGAAAGGATGAATGGAAATGTCAATAAATGAAGCAAAAGTTTCTTGCAGTTCTTCATCTCTGAGTTTGCTAAATATTCAAAACTTGGATAATGCAGTTTCTGGATTCCTGAAAGGCAATGTTATACACAATGTTATACACAATGAAACAAATCTATAGATATATTTTTTTCATCTTTTTATTGAAAACATGCTAATTATAAAATAAATACAGCATTTCCTTTGGTTGCTGTCATTTATATTGGGTTTTTTTAATAGGAAATCCAGTGTGAAACATATATATACACATACACACACACACAAATAAATTGGGCTTGTCTGTAAAATGCTTGTGGTCAATTATTTACATTTTAATTCGGGTTTTTGAATAGCCATTTTTTCTCACTCTATCTTACTTCTATAATTACAATTCTGGACTTTTTTGATTAGTAATATAGAAAATATTACATATTTTGTGGCTGCATTGAATTCTTTATGGTAGATCATTTGACAAACAGAAGGCAGGCAGGCAGGAAAGAAGGAAGGAAGGAAGGAAGGAAGGAAGGAAGGAAGGAAGGAAGGAAGGAAGGAAGGAAGGAAGGAAGGAAAGAAGGAGGGATTTTTTTTTTTACCTGAACACTTAATGAACTTCAGGAAAAAATACGAATGATGGTGTATGTATATATCTTTCATTTATCTATATCTTTCATTTATCTATATCTTTCATTTACCGATATCATGTCTGAATAACCAAGCTGAGTACTAAAGAAAAAAATACAAAGATTTAAATTAGAAGGATAAAAATCAATTAAGTTCTAACAGGCAAATATTATATTCTGCTATGTCCAAATTACAATGAAAATATGTTGAAATGAATCTTACCTGCTTTTCATTCATTTGCATTACATATTTAAGATTAACTAATAAGATGATATATCTTGTTCCCAATCAAATAAACAAAATATAAATCAGGAGGAAAAGTAAATATGCAATATCTAAAATATAATTTGTTAGATTCCCATGAATACTATAAAGTCATTTAAGGAAATAAAAATGTGTATATTAACCATATGAAGAGGAGATCAATTCAGGGATTTTTCCTTCCCTAGAATTTATTTAAAAAAATATTATTCACTGAAAGAAAATAGAGAAAGTTCATCAGAAATGAGAAAATCACAAGATTGTAGCTTGCAAGGTGCTTCTAGTCCACTTCTTCTTCTTCTTTGTTCAGCAAGATCCTTAATTTAGGTTTATTCATCCTAGTTAATATGTCACATAGTAGTTAATATGTCCTGTAGTATAGATATAGTTCAGCATCACAGCATAATACATTTATAAACATAACTTTGAAGTCTCAACAGAGCCTTTATTCCTCAGAGCTTCCTTATTCAATCAGATACAGGTTTACATAATTTCTTTAAAAAATACTGCATTAAAGTTTAGATTTTTTCTGAGAATTGAAGTGTTTCTTTTTCTAAACTTTAATGCAAAATATAATCCTTACTATGTGAGAAATTCAGCATTTTTTGAGGTGTATTCAACTATTCAGTAACTTGGAGAAACAAATTTCTATCTATCTAGTCTAATATATTTTGTAATGGAAAATAAAGATATATTCTTATGGTTACTATACATATTATCTGTCTGTCTGTTTGTCTGTCTGTCTTGTCTGTCTGTCTCTCTCACACAAACACACACAAACACACATACATAGGGATAGGCAGAGAGAGAAGAAAGGAAAATCTGCTATTAGAAACAGTTTCAAGAATTAAATTCAGCCATTTGTCTGAAATAGTATAGGGTTTCCTGCCTTAGCAGGGGGTTGGACTAGATGACCTTCAAGGTTCCTTCCAACTTTACTATTATTATTATTATTATTATTATTATTATTATTATTAGTAGTAGTAGTAGTAGTAGTAGTAGTAGTAGTAGTAGTAGTAGTAGTAGTAGTAAATATAGTATTCATATTGTATATGTTTATTTTACTAACTACAGAACTTACAGTTCTTGGTATTGATTTACTGAATGAAAGATTATATCATATTCCTCATCTTTCTCTAATATTGTCTCTAAAAGTGGCTCAATAAATTGAAATGTATATCTCTAATGTAGATATTATTGCACCAGATGGATAGATCTAGTCTGAACATGGAACTGATCAGAACCTGTGAAATTGACACATACATGATATCAAACATCCTTGAGAAAATGATATACTATGTTTTACCTAGTAAGATATCTAGATGTATTGTATGTTCTTCTTCATATTAATACTAATAATAATAAAGTTGGAAGGGACCTTGGAGGTCATCTAGTCCAACCCCATGGTCAGGCAGGAAACCCTATACCAGTGGTGGCGAACCTATGGCACGGGTGCCAGAGGCGACACTCGGAGCCCTCTCTGTGGGCACGCACGCCATTGCCTCAGTCCTATACCTTCAGCTGGGTTTTATAAACCTACGCCGCCATGTGCAAAAAAAAAAGGTTCAATCAATCAGTCAATTTCAACTTCTCGTGGGGAAAAAAAAGATCTTGCAAAGTTGGAATTGCTTGATTGAACTTTTTAGTCCCACCCAGTCTGCCGTTACTACCGCAGCCATGCCCACCCAATGGGCCATACCCACCCAATTGGCCACACCCAGGCAATGGGCAACACCCACCTGGCACCCAATGATGCCAGGATTTTGGGTTGCAGTTTGGGCACTCGGACTCTAAAAGATTCGCCATCACTGCCCTATACCATTTCAGACAAATGACTGTCCAGTCTTTTCTTAAAAACTTCCAGTGTTGGAGCATTCACCGCTTCTGGAGGCAGGTTGTTCCACTGGTTAATTGTTCTAACTGTCAGGAAGTTTATCCTTAGTTCTAGGTTGCTTCTCTCTTTGGTTAGTTTCCATCATTGCTTCTTGTCCTGCCTTCAGGCGCTTTAGAACATAGCTTGACTTCCTCTTCTTTGTGGCAGCCCCTGACATATTGGAACACTGCTATCATGTCCCCCCTCGTCCTTCTCTTCATTAAATTAGACATACCCAATTTCAGCAACCGTTCCTTATATGTTTTAGCCTCCAGTCCCCTAATCATCTTTGTTGCTCTTCTCTGTACTCTTTCTAGAGTCTCAATATTTTTTTACATAGTGGTGACCAAAACTGGATGCAGTATTCCAAGTGTGGCCTTACCAAGGCATTGTAAAGTGGTATTAATACTTCACGTGATCTTGATTCTATCCCTCTGTTAATGCAGCCCAGCACTGTGTTGGCCTTTTTGGTAACTGCAGCACACTGCTGGCTCATATTTAAATGATTGTCCACTAGGATTCTGAGGTCTCTCTCACAGTTACTACTATTGAGCAAGGTACCCCCTATACTATACATGTACATTTGGTTTTCATGCCTAAATGTAGAACCTTACTTTTTTCACCATTGAATTTCATTTTGTTAGATAGCGCCCAATGTTCAAGTCTGTCCAGATCCTCCTGTATCCTAATCCTGTCTTCTGGAGTGTTGGCTATTCCTGCCAGCTTGGTGTCATCTGCAAATTTGATGATTTTGCCATCTATCCACTCATCCAAATCGTTGATGAAAATGTTGAAGAGCACTGGGCCCAGAACAAAGCCTTGGGACACCCCACTACACACTTCCCTCCATGTAGATGAGGTTCCATTGAGGACCACATGCTGACTACGGCCAACTACGGATCCATCTGGTGGTGATGCTGTCTAAACCACATTTTTCTATCTTATCAAGTAGTAGGTTGTGATCTACTTTGTCAAATGCCTTACTGAAGTCCAAGTAAATTATATCCACAGCATTCCTCTGATCCACTAATTTTGTCACTTGGTCAAAGAATGCAATAAGATTTTTCTGGCGTGATCTGTTTTTGACAAACCTATGTTAGCTTTTAGTAATGACTTTGTTTGCCTCTAGGTGTTTGCTGATTCATTGTTTGATTATCTTTTCCAGAATCTTCCCAGGTATTGAGGTCAGGTTGATAGGTCTGTAATTTCCTGGATCCATTTTTTCACTTTTTTGAAGATGGGAACTACATCAGCTCTTTTCTAGTCCTCCAGTAGTTCCCCAGTGCTCCAGGATCTTTGAAAAATATAATTCAATGGTTCTGAGATCACATCTTCCAGTTCCTTGAGAACGCTGGGGTGTAATCCATCTGTTCCTGGTGATTTGAACTCATCTAGGCTGGACAGGTACTCACTTACCATTTTCTTGCGTATCTTAACTTGTGTTTCTATTCTGTTTTTTATGGCACTATTTTTGGTAGGTTGGTCTGTTTTTTCTTTTTGTGTAAAGACAGATACAAAAAACAAGTTAAATAGTTCTGCTTTCTCCCTGTTGCTTGTCACCTTCTTCCCACTTTCCCCCACTAATGGACCAATCATTTCCTTCACTTTGTTCTTGTTTTTTACATGTTGAAAGAAGCTTTTTTTGTTATTTGACTTCATCTTTGCAGGCTTGGGCTATTTGTTGATATTCTGACTTAGTTATGTGCTCTTCTTTCCACTTTCTATACTTGTCCTTTTTATCTTTCAATTTATCAGAGAGTTCTTTATGCAGCCATGCTGGTTTCTTTTGAGAGCTGTTATTTTTCCTCTTTGTTGGTATTGTGCTGGACTGGGCTTTTATTATCTCACTTTTCAAAATTTCCCAAGCTTCTTGAGTTGTTTTCCCCTTGAGGATTCTCATCCATGGAA